TGTTACCGTAATGCAAGCCTATTTTTCAAACTTTCGTCGTCCGTGGGATTTGAACCCTAGACCTGCTACTTGGAGAGAGTGACGACTTAACCACTTCACTAAGCTGCCACACCTCTAAATACTTTATTTCTTTTTTATATTTATTAGAAATTTTACTAAAATTTAAATAAAGATACTATTTATTAATTGAATATATATTTATCGGGTCCATGTCACTTGCCCTACAACAATTTGCCTGTCAGCTATTTTTTAGTAATATTTTTAAGAATATTATTAAAAGAAATAATTTATTTGTACCCGTAGGGTATAGCATACTCATGTAACACAATTATCGATCATATGTATCGGAGAATAAATTGTAAAAAATGTAGATAAACAAATGACGTAGAAACGAAAATGCATAAATATTGAGAATGAAGGTAACATAGTCTCTCTTTCTTGAAAATAGTGCACTTAAAAATCATAATAAAAGGATACAATACACGTCTTTCCGTTCTGAAACTTTAATCGCATATTGTTTTACTATTTGAAAAAGCTGTAGTGGCGTCAGTTACCAATTGGTCTCGTGATTTCTTTCTTTTGGCGTAGTGACAGTATTTAGTCTCATGATTTTTATATAATTTTTTACAAAGATATATCTAACAAGGAGTTATCCTATTAGAAAAAATAATGAATCATTATTTTTGAACTAATGCTTTTTGCTTATGAATTTCTTTTCAAAGAATTAGCCAAATATCTTGAAACTCATTTAATTAAACGGAAGCTCATTCTCATTAATTGGTCTCTGATTTTCTCAATTTTGGCGTAGTGACGGTATTTAGTCTCGCAATTTTTATTTTTGAACCTATGCTTATTGCTTATGAATTTCTTTTAGTTGAATTAACCAAATACCTTGAAACTCATTTAATTAAAATGGAAGCTTATTCCCTCGTGATTTTCTCACCTTTGGCGTAGTGAAGGTATTTGTCTCACAATATTTAGTAATTTCAGCTCAAAAATCATAACGCATCCTTTATTTTTTGAACTTACGCCTGTTGCTTATGAATTTCTTTTGGTGAATTAACTTGAAACTCATTTAATTAAAATGAAATCTCATTACTATTAATTGGTCTCGTGGTTTTCTCGCGTTTGGCGTAGTGACGGCATTTAATCTCGTGATTTTTTGTAATTTGAGTTACTACTCAAAAATCATAATGCATCATTTATTTTTGAACTTATGCTTATTGCTTATAATTTCTTTTTAATGAATTAGCAAAACACCTTAAAGCTCATTTAATTAAAACGAAAGCTCATTTTCATTAATTGTCCTCGAATTTGGCGGTATTTAGTCTCATGATTTTCTGTAATTTGAGTTATCCTACTCAAAAATCATAATGCATCATTTATTTTTGAACTTATGCTTATTGATTATGAATTTCTTTTTAATGAATTATTCAAACACCTTGAAACTCATTTAATTAAACGAAAGCTCATTCTCATTAATTTTTCTCTGTTTTTCTGCTTTTGGCGTAGTGACGGTATTTAGTCTCATAATTTTTTTTTTTTTTTGTCTTGTATAGTACCTAAAATTGGTTTATTTAAAGATTATTTTCTTTAGAATTACGGTTTTAAAAATGGATTATGGAGACGACTCTGAACATTTCAAAGAGAGGTCATTAAATATTGCAGTTCCATAAGTAACATATCTTTTTTTTGTTTTCGTCTTATGTACTATGTTTGTCTTTTTATACTAACAACCTTCTCGACAAAGTGATCAGAATTTAGCTGAAGCGTTAGACGCTCCAATAGTTGGACAAACGTTTAGTACTTGGGAAGACTTGGATAGGTTCATTTCTCTCTATGCGAGGTCACAGAATTTTGTCAGTGTTATTCGTGGATCAGAGTATGATGATAGCATTTGTCGAAGCCGTAGATATGCATGTAAACACCAGGGCCGTAATATTGTTAAAAACAAAACTAATATTGCTGAAAATCAGCGGCAAACACGAAGCAAGCGTACCGGGTGCCATTGGCAGGTTCGTGCTACCTTTCCCAAGAAAACTGGCATATTAAGTATCAGCTCTGTTTATTTGGTTCATAATAATCATTTAATGGAAAATGGAACCAATAAGTTTGCCTCAAAATATAGAGCATTTTCTGAGGATATGTTAAAGGACATTGAATTCTGAACTGAAACTAGCAATTTAAATATGAGAACCCAATATCAAATGTTAATGAAGAAGTATCCTAACACCTTTTTTTTGCCCCAAAACGTTTCGAATGCTATACAAAATTTTAAATGGTAAAATCATGTTGAATCCGAGGCAGCTGTTTTACTTAATCAACTCCTTGAACGTAAAGCTGAAGATGCTAGATGGATTGGCAATTGGAAGGTTGATTCTAGCAATAATTCTCTTACTTCTCTTTATTGGATGTCACCTGATCAGCACGATCTGTATATGCAATACCGAGATGTTATTCAACATGACAACACCTATTCAACAAATCGGTTTAAGATGGCATTAGGATTTTTTGTAGCGGTAGATAATAATAATCGTTCCCGATTAGTAGGGCAAGTTCTTATGAATAATGAAACAGCTGAAAGCTATGAGTGGGTTTTACAAACCCTAGTTACGAATACTGGCGCTGTCTCTTTAACAATCATAACTGATAATGATCTTGCAATGAATGCAGCAATCGCTAATATCTTACCCAACACCTACCATGTTCATTGTATATACCATATCGGCCAGAACTTAATAAAAAATCTGAAAGGTAAACTTGGTGAAAGATATAATAAGTTTTCCCAAAATTGGTATCGAATGCATAATGCTCTTTCGTATCAGCAATTCGATCTTTTATGGAATGAACTTTTAATAAAATTTCCTGATGCAGCCTCGTATCTTGATCGTGTTCTTTTTGGTGAAAAAGAACATTGGGCTCTCTGTTATACTTCTAGAATTTTTACTGCTGGCATGCAGTCAACGCAGCGAGTTGAAGGTCAAAATGGTATTATAAAAAATTCAGTCAATAGTAGTACATCTTTAATCAACCTTGTGAAATATATTGACGAACAAATTTATTGTACATCAATGTTCGTTCAATATAAAAATTGGATTCATTCTACTACGGGGCCCACACTTATCCATGCCAGTTCTGAATTTTCACTTGACATTGACAAATAGATTACTGCATACCTAACACCAACTTCGTTATCAATGCAACTGCAAGAGATTGCCCAAGCTATATGGTATACATCTCAACATATTAATAGTTTTCAGGATTTAGAATTGCAACAATCGGATTTGACTAGACAATTTGAGATAACTGAACAAATAGATTCAATTGAGGTTAATACTTTTATTGAAGATTCTGTGGATGCACCTGCAATTTTAGCTAAAGAACTAATATCATCATCAGAAAGTGAATCTGTTCTTGAAATTTGAGAGGTCACTCGACACAGACGTAAAGCAAAAAATTACGTTATATTGTTCAAAAACAATTCGCACTTGTACACGTGTCTTGGTTTAGTACAAAATGGCTTTGTTTGTAGACACTTTTTACAAGTCATGACTGTGTCTAGTTACGCTGCATTTCACATAATGCTTATACCAAAGCGATGGTATAATAATGAAAAGCAACTTGAATCAGAATTGCAAACATGACAACAACCTTTTATTATTGGTTTTAATAATAACAATACAGATGAAAAAAATTCTGAACAATCTTTTCCTCATGCATCTTTTTGTTTACCAGGTGTTTCCTTTAGCTATATTCATAAACAAGTTAACTATCGCAAAACATATGTAACGATTAATGGATTGTCTAAAAAGGCAATTCAAACTGGGATAGATGCTGGCTCTAATGCTATACAAGAACTAGAAAATTTTATGAATGGTTTTATTACTAAGTACACTCCAAAAAAAAAAGAAATCTCGATTCATAAAAAGAACAAGAGGCAACATGAATACGAAAATGAGACTAGTTCAAGTTATAGTTCCAGTGACAAAGAAGGTTTTATTGCAGTCGAAAACCCAATTGTTCGCTCAAAAAAAGGCGCTTCAAGAAAAAAGCGACTTAAAGGATTCCATGAATTCGAAAGCAAAAATAAAAAAACTAAAGAACATTCGGAAATACCAAAAGGTAGAAAACCAACTCAATGTCAACAATGTCAAAATACTAGACATAATAGAGCTGGTTGTGAAGCATGGCTTCAACAGCAAGGTATTCCATATTTATATTAAATAGCAGGCCATGTTTCTTTCTTTCATATGATAATAAAAAACTTTAAGTGCTAGCTAGAGCTTCAATTGCAGAATTTAAATACCTAATTAATTCGATGCAAACATAAAGTAATTTATACATCATATGCGCCCAGATGCGACGTGTCACACCAACCTGTAAACAAGTTAGATAAACTTTGTCAGCCTGTCAAAGCTTTTCCCTTCATATTCTCTTTCTTTACCGA